CCGCTCAGTCAGACTCAGGGGAAATTAAAAGGCCTGATTTCCTTCAACAAACAGCTGCTGCTACTCAGGAGTGGTAAAACAAAAAACGCCATGAAAGGGGGTTTCATCTCTTTATAAGGTTGAAAGGACCAGGGAAAGAGCCAGGAACTCCCAGCAGAGAACATTCAGAGAAAAAAAGAGTCCTGTTGGGCTTTGCATTTCTTCGCCGTCTTGTTGGGAGAATGGCAGCTTTGCTTATTAAGAGCACCACGTCGGCTAAGCCCCAGGAGGCAAGGCAGGGCCCGTTCTACCTTCCCGCTTGCTCTGTGCTGAGCCACAAAAGGAGACAGCTTCCCTTCCAGGGGATGTTCTGTATCACCAAGGACAAAGGGAATACATATGGAGCAAGCAGAGAGTTACCTTCTGTCTGGCTTCATCCCACCCTCCCCCAAGTCCCCCACTGACGCCAAAGACAACCTGACTAATGCTCAGCTGCATGACAGGCAAGGCGCCTCCGGGAAGGTCAAACGCAGGGAAAGAGCCTTCCTCGCTCTCTTCCTGGAAAGCCAGGCCAAGTACAGAGGGGTCAAGGGCTTAGCAGCAAGAGGTGCTCAGCAATTTTTCAATGTTGTCCATTTTTCAATCCCATGGAGAGTCCTCTAGGACCCTCTGCCCCCTCCTTTCTGCCAATCGCCTGCACAAGATCAAAGTTAGACAGCACAGTGCTTGCTTGTGCCTGAAAGTCCCCCATCTGCAGAAAATCCCATAGTAAGTTATGGAGCTGAGAAGCATTCAGTCACAGCCCAGCTGTGGCAGTGGGTTGCTCTCTGGGGAGCACGGGCATCGAGAGACAGGCATAAGGTGGCCCAGTGAAAACCTAGGACCAGGCGCAGAAAGATGCCACAGACCATGCAAGAGCAAGGGGAATGACAAGGGCAAGGCCCCATGTTTCCTCTTTCACTGGGAAAAGGAAACAGGTTCCCAGCTCCTCATGCAGTAACAGCAGGCCTGAGCCCATGGGGAAGGCCTGCAGGAATTCCCCATGTCAAAGTCTCTCCAGAGGATGCTGCATGGCTTCAGTATCCTGTACAGTTTTGACCACATACACACCTACATGGAATCAAGTCAAGCAAAATACCCAAAGGAAAAAGTCATGCTGTTGCAGAGTCATTTCAGAAGAGAGACAGAACTGCTAGAGAGTGGCTTGCCCTGCCTTATTTCTGCCTTCATCTGTTCAGACACCCTCCCTGTCACAGCCCCCAGGCTGCCTCTTTTCCCATTCCTTCCCCAGTACTCCCCACCCCACCCTCGTGCACCTATTACCTGTCAAAACACCTCACCACAGTGAGACCAACAAACAACACTCGGGCTAGTTGCCTGTTTTGGTGCAAAGTTGCAGGCAGCCCTCCCTGTTGGGGAAGAAGTCCTCAGAAGAGCCAATGCCTACAACAGGCAGGAGGAAATGGCCCCTTGGACCCTAAAGCCTTTGGGCCCCAATTCAAATTGTGCAAATTCCCCCACCTCCATTGGACACTGCAGATCCCTCTGCCCAGGGTCAGGGAAGCTAGAGGTCTTTATTTAGGATACCACCTGGTTGTTGCCCAAGGCATCTCCAGCCAGAAGGATAACGGCGCCGCTCTCCACCCAGGCCTTTTCCAAGTTCCACCTTTGAATGGGTAGATCACATAAGGGACTGCAAGCCTGCAGGTCCCCAGGCCTTTTCTGCCAGAGGCCACCCTGGAAGGTGAACAGGCACTCACAGATTTTGTGGACTCCAGGGAGCCTGAGGAGAGGGTGTCTTGAGTACTTCGGCTCTTGGAGCTAAGATGAGGGGAGGAAGAGGGGGAGTCATCAATGTAGGGCATCGTGTCATGGTGCCGCCGCTGCTCTTCAGCTCTGTCGGCATCATAGATGTACCCAGGCGACATCCCCCCAAAAGCGACATCTGCAAAGGAAAAGGAACAAATGGGTGAGAAAATTATTCATCTGGTCATCTCCTCTTGCTTTGAGCCTTCTGGGGCTTTCTGTGGATGCTGCATCTTCCTGGTTTTTAATTCTAGGCTCTCCTACTTCTGGGTGTTCCTGTCATTATAGCTTATGAAGAACATCACAATATCTCCTAAATGCACCTTCAGACATCTCCCGCTGTCTTCCAGGTTGAGTGAATGATTGTGTAGAGGGGCACCCTCTTCCAGACTGCTCTTGCCCCAGGGAACAACCCTCATGAGCTGCAGAGAGCCACGTTTAGACAAAAGGCCTAAATAGCTACTCATCAGACTGGGAGGCCTGGTGGAACAGAAGACTACCAACTGCTTTCAGTACAAAACAGTAGTGAACTTGTGCAGGAGTGACTGACAAGGATTGTTTGGCTTTAGGCCACTTCAGGGCCTCCCCAAACATTCAGAGCAGACTTTGAATCTTCAGGAACATTTCTCCCTGCTGTGCAAACATCATCCACAGGTAGGTAGAGGTCAGCAGATAATCCAGAGACCATATCTCCCACCACCACCCTGTGCTCAGAGAGGTTACATACAGAGCCACAAGTTTTCCATGCAAGACATCATAACGACGTGGATGGTTGTCCTGAGATTTCCTGCTTCTGTGCCACCAGTGCTAGCACTTTCCAAAAATCATTCCACATTTCACTTGTGCTGAATTAGAACATTTACCATTTTGCTTCCATTAATTTCAAGCAACACTTAATCAGAAAATGCATACAGCAGATGTTCTTTCGATATTTGTGAAGCCGGGAAAATGCTTGAGGCACCTTTGAAAGTGAAACTGCTATTGTTTGGCAGGCAAGTGATAAATGCCAGTATTTATTTTATTTTCAAATTACAAGAATAATGTCTAATGTCAGAGGAAACACTCCACAAATTGGTTGTTGTGGGTTTTCCGAGCTCTTTGGCCGTGTTCTGAAGGTGGTTCTTCCTAATGTTTTGCCAGTCGCTGTGGCTGGCATCCTCAGAGGACAGTACTCTGTGTCCTCAAAGTGCTGTCCTCTAAAGATGCCGACCACAGAGACTGGTGAAACATTAGGACCACCTTTAGAACACGGCCAAAGAGCCCGAAAAACCCACAGCAACCATTAGATCCCAGCCGTGAAAGCGTTTGCGAATATACTCCACAAATAGTTATAAATGATGCCTGCAAAGTGACAGGTGGGGGAGAAGGAGAAGTAAGCATTGGGGGGTGCTCCTAAGCAAGAGGCAACTGCAGGACACACCCCAGCCCCCTTATCTTTCTGAAGGAGGAATCCTTGGCTGGAGACAGAGGAGAGGTTACTTAAGGAATGAAAAAGATTTTGAAGGACAAATTCTGTGGTGCACATGCCACTCACAGGCCTATCTCATGCTGCAAAAACATGCATGACCAGGAAGGTGGCAGGACAAGAAAACCATAAGCAGTGTCTGCGGGCTCAGATCATGCATGCGCATCTTCTGTATCTAGACATTACTGCTGCTTTTAAACATCTGAAATGATTCTGCAGTTCCCATCACTATGTTACTTCTAGGGGCCGCTGAATATGTATCCAGGAAGGACTCTGGTTCACAGTCCTCCTAGTTGGGACAGAGTACCTGCAGCAAAGGCCAAGCAGCTCTGGGTTGGGCTAAAACGCAGAAAACTAGAAAAGCCTCGTCTTCTCTCATTTCCAAACCAGCATCAAGGCACTGTCTTTGAACAAAGCGAGGCTGGTATATTTTGCTAATCCAAATGCCACACCCACCATGACAGTGCCCCAACTGTCCTTGTGATATTGGGGAGGGTCTTCCAAGGCTCAGGGGTATTTCCCTCGCCCCCTGAAAACACCACTGTCTCTCATCAGTTGCTTCTGCAGCCCTTAAAGGCACCATGAAAATGAGTCTTTATCCAGCTCCCTCCTGCTGCTCCCTGCCCCCACCCCCCCCACACACACAGATTGGATGAGGGGTGAGACACTTCATTATTTGCCATTGGCCACGTTTAGCCACCTTGCCCGAGCATCTCAAGCTGAGGTTTGCACCAAGCACAGGGGCTTCACATCCCACTGCTGGACCTGGTGGCATCCACAGCCCAAAGCTTCTCTTCTATTGTGGGCCAAAGAGCAGAGAGCTCATAGTCCTATCCAAGCTGGACTTGGCTACTGCATCTCCATCAAGCCAGTGTCTTTCCTGGGATATCTGCACAAGGGGGGGAGGGGCAGGGCAGCTTTGTGGATCTGTTCTCCATTCCTGCCAGCCCTCTTTCCCCCCCTTACCCAGAAAAGATTCCTCCTCCCCCCTTTAATTCTACAGAAAAAAAAACATACGCCCCCACCAAAAGAGGCAGGCAAGCAATATAGCCCAGTAGAGGAGGCCAGAAGGCCAGCTCCCCTTCTCTTCCTGACCAGCCCCCTCCCCATGGTTGCCAAGGAAACACAGTGAAATCCCCCTCCTTTGCTAGAGAAAGCGGCTCAGCTCCCAACCCTTTCCTCCCAAAGGAGTCCGGAAGGCAAACACAAAAGAGGAACGCGAACAGCAAATGCCATATCTGATGAGGCGCTCACGTCATGTTACGCTCCGCCAGCCCTCACCGCTCATGCTCCCAACTCCCCTGCCCAGAACTGCATCTGAAGCACAAGCTACTCTCCATCTGCAAAGCAGGGACCAAACCTGCCAATGGAGGAAAACCAACCTTTTGCAGATTTCAGATGAGTGTGTATACAGCCCCCCCCCATGTGCACACACCAGGAATCCTAACAGCCCTCCAGGGAGGCTGCTGGCTTCACACGTGTGTGGAGGCCAAAGATCTCCCGTGACAACATGCAGTCCCTTCAGCTTGGACAATCATTGGTGGGGGGAACGGAGACCCCTTGCCACACCAAAGCTTAGTACAGGCCTCCAAGCCATGCAAAGGCAAAGGCACTTGTGAAAAATTCCCAGGTTTCCATCATACACAGACAAAGACTTCTATGGGTACCCAAGAGCATGGGGGGAGGCAGGGTGTGGGAAGGCAATAAGTGGGCATCTACTTCCCATAACAACCTTTCAACACTTGCAGGCACTATAAGGTTCCTATGGGTAGGTCAGCCCTTTCTGGGGCTGAGAACTGCCCCAGCTCAGAAGGAGGAAAGCTACTCCTGCTACCAGCCCGCTCCCCACCCTGCTGCTGCTGCTGCTGCTGCCCAGGCAGCAAAGAACTCCCTCTGCCTCGCCCACCCGGGGCACATGGTCCCTCCAACCTTGCACCCATCTGGGAGACCCACCTCTGTGCACAAAGGGAGCAGCTCACCTTAAAAATAAAACACCTTGGAGCAGGTGACTCTCACGGGGGCACACCAGGTGCCCCAAAGCCCAAGCCGAGGGCTCCAGGAAGCCTGCAAACCAATTGCAAAGGCAGCAGCCCTGCCCTCCGGCACGAGCCCTCCAGTGGCATATGGCTCCCACATTCTGTTTACCCAACCATCGGGAAAAAGTGTGCAATACACCCAAGAGTCATTCGCTGTCCAGTTTCTAGTAAAGTAGTGTTAAATAGTGTAATTCTGTGCCCATGACTCATGATCCATCCAGCCTCGTTTCTTCTGTATGTTAGTTTTGCCCCAGCCTTTTGAGACAGGCGTGGATTTTCTTGACAAGAAAGAGCTCACACGAAGAGGGAAAAGGCCTTCTCTCCTAGAGGCACAGGCAGCCGCCTAAATAAATAATGTGCCAAGCTGTCTCCAGCTGGACAGCTGTAACATAAGATGCCCCTGCAGATCAGCTCCCTGGCAGATGTGTGGTTTTTCCACTGGCTGCACCTTGCATCTTCTGCTCCCACCGATACGAAGAGGAGGCGTCAGTGGTCCTGGGCATCCAGCAGGATAAGGCTGGTCCTGGGCCCTGGCACGCAGCCAACAGAGGGGAAAGGAGAGCCAAGCTGCTGGAGCGGGAAGCAGCTGCTCCTCCACTGGAAGACTTTCCAACCTAAGGAAGAAAAAGATGAGGCCCTGGAGAGGCCAATAAGCTGGTCCTTCTCTTCCTCTTTGCCTTCTGGCATCAGCCACTTGCAAAAGGCTTTCACTTGCATTCTACCCACCTTCTCCGTCCTCCAGTAGAGGAGGTTCAGGAAGCTGGGGTGGGGAGGGAACCAGCCTTGCCAAAGAAGGGTTGCTTTTTTTCTGCCCAGCTGCTTGGCAAATTCCTGACCAGCAGTGTCGTGCCAGGCGCAAAGGGAGAAGAGTCCGTTCCATGAAAGTTTAATGCTGGACCATTTCGCAGAGGTGTTTGCTGTAGATGGTTGAGTGGCAGGAGAGGAAATAATGATCCATTAAGCAGAGTATTGCACAACCTTCATTTTCAAGACAGAACCCTGCTCAAACCTGCTTGCAAATAATAATATATTTTTTTAAAAAACCCTGTAACAACAATTTTTGTTGTTTAGTCCTTAAGCCGTGTCCGACTCTTCATGACCCCATGGACCAGAGCATGCCAGGCTTTCCTGTCTTCCACTGCCTCCTAGAGTTTGGTCAAATTCATGTTGGTCACTTCCCTTCTCCTCTTGTCTTCCCCCTTTCCCGACATCAGGGGTCTTTTCCAGGGAGTCTTCTCTTCTCATGAGATGGCCAAAGGATTGGAGCCTCAGCTTCAGGATCTGTCCTTCCAGTGAGCACTCAGGGTTGATTTCCTTCAGAACGGATAGGTTTGTTCTCATTGCAGTCCAAGGGACTCTCAAGAGTCTCCTCCAGCACCACAATTCAAAAGCATTGATTCTTCGGCAGTCAGTCTTCTTTATGGTCTAGCTCTCACTTCTGTACATCACTGGGAAAAACCATAGGTTTGACCAGGCGGACCTTTGTCAGCAAGGTGATGGGTGCAACTGTATGGTAGCAACAATAGGCAGGGCATTTTTTTTTCAGCCCATGGGTTTGTTGGATCATTGTACTCATCAGTTCATGTCTATCATAGTCCTGGAATTTTCCTTACTGATTTTTTTAATTGCTTTCTTTTT